CCTTGCCAGGACTTCGCTCGGCTTGTGCTGGGCAGTGACGTGCGAGGGGCCCCGCACATTGCTCCGTGTGTCATCTGCACAACAGGCGGCTTTGTGCAGGGAGAAGTGAGGGGCAAAGAGAGGGCTCAGCCTGCCAGCTTTTAAATATATCTGTAAGGGATAAAGGGCGCGGCCTCTCTTATAGGACTTGGCACATTATGGCTTTAAGAAAGGGGGGGAAACTTGCTTTCTCATGCAGGTGATGAGATGCCCCGCACATTGCTCCGTGTGTCATCTGCACAACAGGCGGCTTTGTGCAGGGAGAAGTGAGGGGCAAAGAGAGGGCTCAGCCTGCCAGCTTTTAAATATATCTGTAAGGGATAAAGGGCGCGGCCTCTCTTATAGGACTTGGCACATTATGGCTTTAAGAAAGGGGGGGAAACTTGCTTTCTCATGCAGGTGATGAGATTGATATTCCTCAGGCATAGGCTGTGATAAAGACTCCAACCTTTTTATGAACTGTGGCTACTATATGTATACAGGGCAGTTTGTCTTTAAAGTTCTAGCCAAGCACTAGTTTGCAATGTGCATCCTCGTTACCTTTGGACAGGTGTAGTGAAATACAGGCCAATGAAATAGTAGTATTGCACCACACTATGTGTATCATCAGTATTTCTCCTTTAAAAAAAAATTGTTGACGCATCACCGTTCTGAAATAATATCCCTGTGCATAGTTTGAGTAGATGTTAATGTTACAAAGTAACCTTCAAGGTTATAAACCTGGAGTGACTAAAAACCAGTTTGTGTTAGCTCAATAGAAATTGCCAATAAACATAAAAATATTGAATCCATTTTGTACAGAAAGCATAGAGACAACATGAATGATATATTTTTTTAAATCTCTAATATTATGGGACCAATACAGGTGGCACATATGTGCCATGTTACCTGTATTGGTCCCATAATATTAGAGATTTCATGGCATTTTTTCTGTAAAGGCATTTTTCGTCAAGATCTGGTCATATTGTCATGATTCCTAACTCTGTAAATATGTTGTAGCATAAATTCGTTTTGCTTGTGTAGGTGATACTTAGCTGTGTTACAGTCATCCTTCCAAGGTATGTCAGAGATTCTGAGAAGTGCTGAACACCTATAGTACCCAGTGCTCACACTTGGATAGTTCAGCTAGGCCCTTAGACCTGTTTCTATAACTTTCTGAAAAATGTGTTGGCCTAACTTTGTGTGCATTAAATAGAATTCATTATAGTTTTGTAAAATCTCAGTTTAACTTTAGAATTATGAACATCTCAGGAATGAAAGTTAGTTGTAGCTCTGAAAGGTTTGCATCTCTGAACATGGCTCTTTCAAAAGTTTACAAATGAACATTGACTTACTAAAGTTTCAAAGCTGTAGTATGCAGAAGTGTGCTGCTTTTAACCATTTTAATTTAAATTAAACTTCTTCTGTTTCCTTTCTTTTTGTCATACTTTGTAAACATAGTTTATTTTTATTTTTCCTTCCTGCCTGATTATCTACCACTGGCTCCAAATGTGGCGTGTGGTTGACCAGTCAGCCCATAACTCTGAGGTTCCACTGTAGTTGCTGTGAACTTCGTCCTCAGTGAGGCCAAGTGCTTTTGTCAAGTTTGAAGACATTGGTTTAGAAATGTTAAGTACTTTATTCTAAAATCCCTTGACCCATTCAGTACGTGGATTTTCCACTTTTTTAAACCCACTGAAATATGGAACTCTACATATATCTGCACATGGGCAGGTGTATCTGAAATGCAGTACATTGAACTAGCTTCAACTGGTTAAAATGGGCCAATTAGACCTATTTTGGAGTCGGAGTCTTCTTCAGTCCTCTTCTCAATCCATGGTGCAACACCATATTTATTATTTGATGTCATGCTAGAAGTCTACTACAGGCCACCTACCCAGGTGGAAGAAGTGGATGAGGCTTTTTTTTAAACAACTAACAATATCAATATCCTCCAAACCCCAAGATTTGGTGGTGATTGGGGACTTCAACTATCCAGATATATGTTGGGAAAATAACACAGCGGGGCACAAACTATCCAATAAGTTCTTGGACAACTTGGGGACAACTTTTTATTTCAGAAGGTTGAAAAGGCTACTGGGGGGAAGCTGTTCTAGATTTGATCCTAACAAATAGGGAGGAACTGGTTGAGAATTTGAAAGCAGAAGGCAGCTTGGGTGACAGTGATCATGAAATCATAGAGTTCACAATTCTAAGAAAGGGTAGAAGGGAGAACAGCAGAATAGAGACAATGGATGCACTGCGCGCCGGGGGCGGGCAAGAATGGCTTGGGCCAACCCCGGTAATTAGGCGGGTGCACAGTGGGCGCCATGGCGGGGACCACTGAGGTAGTATTTTTCTAGGTTATTTAGAAGGGTTTGTCCTTGTTAATCCTAAATTTAAATTTACATCGAGCTTTTAGATTTCAGAAGATATTGCTCCATTCAGAACACATAAAGCATGAGACTAGTGGAATGCCATAAGAGGAGGAGGAAAACAGTTAAAGGTATGATGCTTCTTCCCTTACCCTTTAAGCCATGTCTACACTAGTGATTTTGCTTCTGTAGCTACTCTGTGCCAACAGGGAAGAGCTCCTCCCATCTACTTAATAAAACCATCACAAGTGGCAGTGACCATGGCCTACGCTCTTCTGCTGACGTAGCAGTTTGCACACTAGTGAAACTTAGGTCATTCAGAGGGTTTCCTTCCCCTCCCCACGCCTCTGAAGGATGTATGTTTTGCTAACATAAGCAGCAGGGTAGATGTTGCTAACTCTCTTCATGTTTAAGACTTTTCCTGGATTTGAGATAACCACAATGTTAGAACTGGCCTATGACCCTGCAACTTAGTTTTGTCCAGTATAATAACTATACTAAGAGTTAGTATGAGCTTAATGGCCTTTGTCATGCTTATAAGCAGTGTTCCATGTTGAGACCTAATTTCTGCTAAATTTAATATATTAGCACAAACACAGATTGTGTATATTTGTATATTTTTATAGGCATGTATTTAGTTAGTATTAGCACACAGATTGTAAATCTGTCAAACTCCTGTACTTTTACTTGTTTTGATTCTTGTATTATAAGAAACACTTAACTACCGTATTAGTGCATAGAACATGTTTGCCTTACCACATCAAATAACTAACCATGGTCAACAAAAAAAAGCAGTCATGTAGCTCTTTAAAGACTAACAATGGTTTATGAGGTGATGAGCGTTCGTGGGGCAGACCCACTTCTTCAGATCATATTCTGAAAGTGAATTGCCATTATATAACAGAGGGATACAATGAAGAAGTAAACAAATTATACAGTAACGATTCAGCTACACAGAATAGAAGGTACGGGAGAGGGGATGAGGAAGGGAAAAGGAAGGAGGAAATTACTTATTGTAAGTGTAGCCAGACAGGCATCAGCTGACAGTCAATTAAGTAGCTAATCTGGAGTTACTAGGCGTATCAGAAGGTGGGAGGCTGTCTTTGTAATGTGTGAGGTAATTATCATCTAAATCAAGGCCCATTCCCAACGTGTGGAATTTTAGCATAAATAAAAGTTCTGAAATCTCCCTCTGTAATCTGGTGTTAGTCTCTTTGAAGTAAGATGCATGTTGTCAGGTCTTCAAGGGAATGGCCAGTTTGACTGAATTGTCCTCTGACAGGTTTCTCTGTGTGAAGATGTCTGATTTGTGAGCATTGATTCTCTGGCAAAGTGACTGACCAGTTTGTCCAATAGACATCACATTTGCTGGCACATGATGGCATAAATCACATTGCTGGACATAGTGGAATGTGAGCCCTTGATCGTATAACTGACATGGTTAGATCCAGTGCTGGTGTCTCCAGAGTAAATATGTGGACAAAGCTGGCAGTGGGGTTTGTTGCAAGGGAAAGTTCAAGGGTTGGTTTTAATGTGATATGCCCTGTGGTTGTTAGTAAGAAGCTTCCTGAGGTTAGGTGGTTGTCTATAGGAGAGTGTGTGTCACTCAGAGCCTCCCAGAGTGTAGCATCCTGTTCCAGTATGGGTTGTAGGTTATTGATGATGTGCTGGAAGGGTTTGAGTTGGCGGCTATAGGTAATAACAAGTGGTGTCCTATTGTTGATTTTCTTGGGCCTATCTAGAAGTAGCTGGTTTCTGGAAGGGTTTGAGTTGGTGGCTATAGGTAATAACAAGTGGTGTCCTATTGTTGATTTTCTTGGGCCTATCTAGAAGTAGCTGGTTTCTGGGTATTAGTCTGGCCCTTTCAATCTGTTTTTTTACTTCCCCCAGCGGGTAATTGAGTTTTATGAATGCTTGGTAGAGATCTTGAAGTTTTTAGTCTGTCAGTGGGATTGGAGCAGATGTATCTAAGGACTTGACTTTAGACAATGGATCGCATGATGCATCCTGGATGGAACCCGGAAGCATGCAAGTAAGTGTAGCGGTCATTGGGCTTCCTGTAGAGAGTGGTATTGATTTTTGCCATCAATGATTTGTACTGTAGTATCCAGAAAATGGATCTCTTGTGTCGAACGGTCTATGCTGAGATTGATGGTGGGGTGTAGGTTGTTAAAATCTCTGTGGAATTCGTCCAGTGTTTTTTGACCATGGGTCCAAATGATAAAGATGTCATCGATGTAGAGTAAGTAAAGGAGGGGCAATAGGGGACAGGTTTTGAGGAAACATTCTTCTAAGTCATCCATAAAGATTTAGCATGCTGTGGGGCCATGCAGATACCCATGGCTGTGCCGCTAATCTGGAGATATAAATTGTCCCCAAATTGGAAATAAATGTGGATAAGAACAAAGTTACATAAATCCGCTACCAGATTTGCCGTGGTAACCTCTGGGATAGTATTTCTAATCGCTTGTAGTCCATCTTCATGTGGAATATTGGTGTAGAGAGCTTCTACATCCATGGTGGCAAGGATGATGTTTTCAGAAAGTTTATCGATGTTTTTAATTTCCTCAGGAAGTCAGTGGTATCTCGGAGGTAGCTAGGAGTGTTGGTAACATAGGGTTTAAGTAGGGAGTCTTCCATAGCTGGATAATCCAGTAGTGAGTGTGCCAATACCTGAAATGATGAGATGTCTGGGGTTTCCAGGTTTATGGATTTTTGGGAAGCAAATAGAATAATCCTGGTCAGAGTTCAGAAGGTGTGTTTGCGTGAATTTGGTCCCGAGTAGAAGCAGGGAGTTCCTTAAGAAGATGGTGTAGTTTCTTTTGGTATTCTGAAGTGGGGTCAGAGGAGAGAGGTCTGTAAAATGTGATGTTCGAGAGTAATCTAGCTGCTGCCTGTTCATATTCTGATTTATCATAATGATCACAGCACCCTCTTTAGGGATGTGAAAGGTTAAGCTGCAAGATCACCCTAACTGGGTGATGCTTATTAGAGATGTTAAAATAGGTTTATTTGTGTAAATGTATTCTCACTGAAAATTTCAGCAGATACACGCTCACGTATTAGGAGGTGAGGAGGTGTCGGCTCCCTTCGAGCACTGGCTCCCATTTCCCCACCACCACCTGTATCTGTATCAGAGGCTTACATGCAGGCTCCCTCCTTGCAGCCTCTGCATTAGAGGCAGTAGAGGGGAGACAGGAGCCAATGCGCGTGGGGAACGGGCCTTTAAGCTGTTTTCCTGTGCATGCTGGCTCCCGCAGAGCCGTCTGCCCCACCCTCTGTGCTGCTGCCTATGTGGGTTAGAACATTCAGCTGCCTTCTCCCCTCTCCTACTGCCTTTGTATCGGAGGCAGCAGGGGAAGGCAGAAGTTGGTACATGTAGAGGACCAATTTTTAAGATTTAAGCCCACCTGTGTTGGCTCCCGCAGAGTGATTTCCCCTCTCCTACAGAGCCACCTCCTCTTCCCTCCACACTGCAACCTCGGAGACAGAGGCAATTTTTAAGCTGGCTCCCCATGACTTCTGGCTTCCACTGAGCTAGCTGTCTCCCCCTCGTGCTGCTGCCGGTGTCATATAGGAGCCCTCCCCCCCCCATTGGTATGGCACACATTTACACAAATAAACACATTTTAACATCCTTAAAAGAGATTGCACTACAGTACTTTTATGAGATTAATTGAAAAATACAATTTTGTTTTTTACGGTGCAAGTACTTGTAATCAAAAACATAAAGTAAGCACTGTACACTTTGTTGTAATTGAAATCAATATATCTGAAAAAGTAGAAAATATCTACAAATATTTACAGTAACTGGTATTCTATTCAACAGCAAGATTACTCACCCAATTTTTTTTAATGGACTGACAGCCTAAGTTTATTGCTGTTGGAGGTGTCACATTCTACTGGTCTGGGCACCGTACAAGCATCTTCATAAAGGAACGTATTGCTTCTGCTTTCCTCTGCTCAAAAGCTCCTGAGGGAAGTGAGATAAAATGATATCTTCCACTCTCTAACAGAAATTACTTGCAAGGGAGAGTCACCCAAAAAATTATCTGCCTCTGTTCATAGTTTTCCTAATCAGCGGTGTGAAACTGATGTGTTTCTTGATTTCACTGCTGTCCACAGGATTCTGAATAGCAGCAGTGAAAATGACTAGACTCTTGTTGATTTGAAAGTACTCCTTGAAGGTATGGACAGCAACAAATCTAAGTCTGCCTGGATAGATTCATACCCTTTAAGATCAAAAAGATCTTAACCTGCATTTGGGTCAGGAAGAAATCCCTGCCTGTTACATTGTCAGATGCTCTGTGGGCTTCTGCAGCATGAGGTACAGGTCATTTAAAAAAATATAAAGCAAGCACTGTACACTTTCTGTGTTGTAATTGAAATCAATATATTTGAAAATGTAGAACATATCTAAAAATATTTTATCATCATGATCATTAGTCTGACTTCCTGCACATTTCAGGCCACAGCACTTTACCCACTCATTCCTGTAAAAGGCCTCCGTCCTCTGGTTAAGTTTTTGAAGTCGGGATTTAAAGACTTAGTTACAGAGAATTCACAATTTGCACTAGTTTAAACTTGCAAATGATCTGTATCTCATGCTGCAGAAGTCCACAGGGTCTCTGACAACCTAACAGGCAGGGATTCCTTCTTGACCCAAATGCAGGTTAACTTCCTAATGAAAAGTAAAGGTAGTTTAAGATGATTTTTGCTAATAACTTAGAGTAAGACTTCTGTGTTTATAGCATATTCACTACTCATGCACCCCTTGAATCAGAGTGTGATATTGCAGTAGCTTTTGACTCCTGCACGCTCTGCAGCCCATTTGTTTATGCACTTCCCTGACCTCCAAGGGCTTCTGAGGCCTGGGCCTTTGGGCAAGTTACATAAGTTCTAAACCTCCTCTAGAATAAAAAAAAAATCCACTGAAAATCCAAGTAAACCTCTAAACCCCCACCCACTTAGGCTCGCTCCATTAAGCTGCTCTTCCTGGCTCTACCTTTGGGCTTCCCTCCCACAGGAGCCTACCCTATTCATGCAGGAAAAACTTAAACAACAATGAAAAATCTAGTAGCACCTTAAAGACTAACAAAACATGTAGATGGTGGTATGAGCTTTTGTGGGC